TTGATTTATATCAGTCAACTGAACGAATGCCAGACTGCATCATCAATCAAAACGTAGTATAAAGAGATTGATTGTAACATGAAAATATTATTGCACATCTGAAACCTGTGACAGGTTATGATCAAATCAAAAGAGCATAAGATCAGAATTAAGTGCAGGCTTTAATTTACTTGATATTTGATATTTAAATATACTTATATCTAAAATTTCGAGCTAAAACTTTTTATTAGAAGTCAAACTAGTAAAATCTTGAGTTATTTACATAATCTGTTACAGATTTCAAACACAAAACTCACTGGAAGGTCACCAAAATTCCACGTTAGAATACCTCAGAATCATGACGGCGGGGCCAGAATTAACTAATTTTTCCAAGATTACTGAAAGTTTTACTAATGAAGTTATGGCCCACTCATTAGGTAAAGCTGTCTAGCTGATAATTTTGGCCCAGAAATGGTTGACTTGTATTGCTAAATGCTGGCCTAAATTCGATGGATCCAACCTGGAAATTTGGTGATCCCCCTCTGTAAAAAATCAGACAATGAAATTTCGCTATGCTAGATAATGCCTATACGTATCTGCTATTTGATCATAATATTTAATATAACAAAATGAAAAAAAAACTTTAATAATTAAACAATACGTTGGTGAATTGACTTAATAAAAACATTGTTGCTTGATGATTAATCAAAAAAATTAAAAGAAAAAAATCTGAGGTAAAATAATTAATTGTCCTACTTTTGATAGAGTCTAAAAATCATAACTCAGTATAATCAAATAGGAGGGAACATCGAGGTTATACGACTGATCCTTCACCTGGTGTGCAACATATTTTACAATACTAGATCATTCTGCCTACTAGTACATAGTCGAGTCAATTCACTACAATACGTATTTTAACATCTGTAATTCATAGTATACATACTGTAGTTTAATCTATGAAACAATTTATATATTAATATAAATATTTTATATAAATATAGCAAAAAAAAATTTTTATATGTTTGTTTTAGTAATGCCTCAAAAAAAAAAAGAAAAGAGCATCTAAATATTAAAAGATTCCTTTAGAAATGAAAAAAAAAATTATCAATGAAGTTAACAATAAATGTGTACCGATTCAGGATGTTGCAGCTAATTTTCAATTAGCTGCATCAACCATTTAGAGTATTGTAGATCGTTTTGATAGAGAAGGCCGAATTACTTCTAAACCACGAGGTGGTGATAAAAAATCAATATTAAATGAGCAACACAAAAATTTTTTAGAGGAAGCTATTGAGCAGGAGCCTTGGATTACTATTGCAGATCTAATCCAAGAATTAGTGGATCAGTTTCCAAATCTACAGGTAAAATATAAGCATGCATATGTATAATTCTATTACAGTATTAAAGTTAGTTGGCGTCATATATCAATATATTATATTAATACGTATAGTTAAGTGATCGGACTGTTGCACGGTATATAAGAAATATGGGTTTTACCTTAAAAAGACTGACAGTAGTACCAGAAGGTCGAAATTCTGATGACACAATTCAAAAAAGAAAACAATATGTAGAAAGAATTTATAATGAAAATATTAATATTTATAGTGACATGGTTTATATCGATGAAACTGGTTTTAATCTTCATCTTTCAACATTGAGAGGTCGTGCACGCCATGGGCAACCAGCAATCCGTAAGGTTGTAAATAATAGGAGAAAAAATATATCTGTTATTGCTGCAATTAATGAAGATGGAGTCTTGCACTATAAGTCTATTTTAGGTTCAGTAAACGAAGAAATTTTGACTACTTTTATTAATGAACTTAATGATATTATTCCAAGTGGTAAGTTTTTAGTAATGGACAACGTTCGTTTTCACAGAACCGATGTAATTAAAGAAGCCATTGAAAATACTATACATGAAATTTTCTACCTCCCTCCTTATTCTCCTTTTTTGAACCCGATTGAAAATTGTTTTTCAAAAGTTAAAAATTCTGTTGCAAGAATTCATTTAAGAAATAGAGAAACCATTTTAGGTAGGATTAATGATGCATTCAATATAGTTACGGAAGAGGATTGTAAAGGGTGGATAAGGCATACTTCTTCGTATTTTCAACGTTGCTTAAATTGTGAGAATATTGATGTATAAAATATTATAAAGAATATATGCTTATATGCTAATAGTGAAAATATTTATAAAATTCAAATTAAATAATTTAAAAATATGTTAATTAATCCAATCCGAATTTACATATAATGTAAGATATATTCACGCTAACTTTCACAATGATAACTTCTTCACGATAACGAAAGAGCTATTTTGGGTGTTTATTATTTTAATAATAAATATGATAATGTTGGTAATGAAAATGTATGTTTATTAGTGTACAATTAAAACTTTTATCATAAATTATAATATTTATTGATTATATGATTTTTTTTAGGAACTCGTTGCTGAAATAGCTGCGAGTAAAACTTATAAAATCGTCAAGAAAGCAACAATAGTTGCTATTAAAGTTCTGATCTCTTATCCTTAAAGGTATTGAATAGACGGTCATTCAACATAGAACAAAAGGATGAACAGTAACCTATAGGTGCTTCTGATATTAAGAATTACTGTATATCTTTCTAATTTGTTGATCACGTTAATCTTAAAAAACCAGTCAATTATTCGTAACACACCACTCAATGACTCAATAATATATATATTGATATCTAATGCATAAGTACATAAATACATAAAAATAAAAATGATTATGGTTAAAGTTCATGCTCGTCAAATTTTTGATTCTCGTGGTAACCCTACCATCGAAGTTGATGTTGTAACAGATAAAGTATTAATTAATTAAACTATTAACTATTCATTTTCTTATCTTGTGTCATTTTATTTAATAACTTTATTTTAAAATTTTAAACATTCAGGCATTTTTAGAGCTGCCGCACTATCTGGTGCTTCTACTAGAATTCATGAGGTTTTGGAATTATGTGACAGAATAGAACAAGACTATGTTGGTAAAGGTGAAAAAAAAAGATAATTTGCAATATTTTCTGTTTGTCCATTTTGTATAATTTTAATGTATGTGCATTTTTTAGGTTTATTGCGAGCTGTTCCAATGTAAACGATTGTATTGCTTCTGAACTTATAAAGGCCGATTTGGATGTCAAGGATCAAAAAACAGTTGATGAATTTCTCTTGAAATTGGATAACATTCCAAATAAATCAAACCTTGGTGCAAATGCGATTCCTGGTATATCTTTTGGAGTCACTAAAGCTGGTGCTACTAAAAAGGTAAAATTCTTATAAGATATTATGTATGATCGTCATTAATTTATTTACAAGGTAATGTTACAATAATGTTTTGTATAGGGGCGTTCCACTTTATGCACACATAGCCGATCTTACTGGAAGTAAAAAACCTTATGTTCTTTCTATATCCATTTTCAATGTGAGCAATGGCAGTTCTCATGCTGGTAACAAACTCGCTATGTAAGATTTATGATCCTACCAACTGGTGCCTGTTTTTTTTACTGAAGCATAAAAATTGGTTCTGAGGTTTATCATTCTTTGAAATCTGTTATCAAATCAAAATATGATCAAGATGCTACTAACGTTAGTGATGAAGGTGACTTCGCTCCAAATATACAAGACAATAAAGAATGTTTTAAACTACTTAAAGATGCTATTAAAAAGCTGGTTCTAACTATAAAAATAGAGGGTGAATATTAAATTATTATATTAAACATTCGTTTTTCTTTATTTTTGTGTACTAAAGATAGCTAATATACATATGTACGTACATATGTAAACTTATTTTTTAGGTAAACCTTACTGGTTAAACCATTTTAAATATTGCTTTATGAAATATTATCCTCGTTTTTTCCAACTTACTAATAATATCTTTATCTTTTCCCCAAGTAAAGATCCTGAATTTTTGTCAGTTAAAATGTTTTTAAAACAACTTCTCACGAAGCATTCTACAGACAAGACATTTTACACCTTACTGTTAGGTTAGAGCTAACGTGATGCTATTGTTTTGTCTTCCAATGATGCTTGGCATTTGTTATTTTGGTACATGGTGTTTTTTAACTCGTTAATACCTTCAACTTTCAGACAATTCAGAAATTATACTACATGAAAATGCCATTCAAATGTTTTTGGTCTGAAGATATACATTATTATTAGATATTTATATATTAGTATCTAGCAAGTTCTGAGTTAAGGTTAGGATATAGTTAGTTAGATGAATGCTTTAGGATTAGAGGCAGAACACTCACTCATATACAAGTGTTGCCAGGAGAAAATGTAATGTCAGGCTTCCAAGTTTATCACTTATTATTTACTGGACTTAGCCTAAATCTGGTAAATAATTGATGACAAACTTGAAAGCCTGAAGTTTTATTTTTTCCTGGCACACTCATACTCATATTGTTATAATCAGACATTCGTTTGGTTGACTGATGTAAATCAATTACTTGGATAACTATTTATGAGTATTTAAGATTACTTT